ACCTCAGCAGCCTCCCGTCTTCCAGTTAACACATTCGGTCAAGCGAGCCTTTCGTAGAGCTAGACTCAGAGCCCATAACTCCCCCAATCAGGGAACCTGGTATCGGGGGAAATGGCACACCACTAGCTCCTTAGGCCAGCTGCCCCAGCCTCTGCATCGCAATCCCAGGCGTGCCCAGCCTCATCCTTCCGGATGGAAGAGGCCAGTCCCGCAACTTCACGTGTTGTCTTGGAATGCCAGTGGCTTGTCTTCAGCATTATTCCAGGAATTCATGGCGTGGTGTGAACTTCAGTCCCAACTAGACATCATTGTCATACAAGAGACTCATTGGCATGCCACTGGTGACTTCTGCTCGGGCCCTTGGTTGGCCATGCACACCTCTGGCCGCGATGACCCGGCCGGCTTTGGCAGGTGCTCAGGCATCCTCTTTCTTCTGCGCCGGCACAAATTCCAGGACCCGCGCATTCTAGAGCTGCTGCCAGGACGTCTAGCTTTGGTTCAGGCTACATCTAAGCAAACCAAGCTACCACTTAGCCTCATCGGGGTCTATCAACATGTGTGGAGAAGCGGACTCTCCACTTCCCGCAACCAGGAGTTGCGTCGGGGTCTCTGGGATAAGTTGGACCACACCATACTCACCACCCCGCAGCGGCATCACATCTTGGTCTGTGGTGACTTTAATGCCACTCTGCATACAGAGCCGCCCATCGCTGGACCCTCTGTTGTGACGACCACTGGCGGTCACGACTCTGACCTGCAAGCCCTCATGCAGAAACACGCAATGTGCGCTTTGAACACGTGGCACGCCAGCCCGGCGGGCACCTACTATTCCTCTGCTGGTTGCACACAGATTGACTACATCTTTACACGTCAATCCTCGGCATCCCTCCTGGCCAAGTACGCCTACCCAGACCACGGCTTTCCTGTAGGAGGGGACAGACTCAGCGGTCACTACCCCCTGCGAGCCTCTCTGCCACTGCGATCCTTTTGCCGCAGCCCGCCACAGGACTCCCAGCCCGCGGCTGCTCCAATCGACCTCCCGGCACTCCAGGCAGCCGTTCACTCTGCCACGCCTGAGGCCTGTGACATGCAAAATCGTGTGGCCCAACGCTTGCCGCAGGTTGATGTCACCAACCTTGTCAGTGCCCATAAGCAAGTCAACCGCATTCTGCTCGAGGAAGCTGCCGCCGCCTTCCCAAGGCAGGCACCGATTGATCTCAGGGTCAGCGCTCGACCTGAATTCAGGGTCTCTGCCAGATCGGTCTGGCACCTATACCATGAGCTCAAGCGCCCGAGGGTGTGTACCGCGCCCGAGATTTTTGCCAAGTGGCGATTGGCCGTCCAGTTCGCCAGGGCCTCAAGACTGCTCAAGCAGCAAAGCCGTCACCTGAAGCGACAGTTCTACGAAGCCCAGGTCATGCAGGCTGAACAGGCTGCCCAACGTGGTGACCAGCGGAGTCTCCACCTCATAGTTAAGCGGCTATCGCCCAAGCAACGCAGCCTCGCGTGTCGCCTCCGAGGCGAGGACGGCCACCTTCTTTCGAGCCAGGAAGAAATGCAGCATATTCTTGCCTACAGCAGCAAGACCTTTTCTGCCAAGCTTGATGATCATCCGCGCTTGCCCCTCACTCAGGCCCTTGTTGTCACTGCGCAGGACATCACTACCGAGCTCCGCAAGCTCGGCCTCGGCAAGGCAGTTCCGCGCCATATTGCGCCGTCGGCGATCTGGAAGATGTGCTCCACCGAACTAGGTGAAGTGCTCAGCCAGGCACTCTGTGCGCATCTCCAACCGGGTAGCGCTGCTCAGCTTGACGAGGACTGGAAGAACTGCTTCATTGTCTGGATCCCCAAGCCAGGTAAGCCTACAGCAGATGTGTCGTCCCTTCGACCAATTGGTCTCTCAAGCCCGGCCAGCAAAGCCCTCGCAGGCAGTCTACGTGCGCGCCTGCTCAGTGGTCTGGAGCCAGCAATGCGTCAGCTCCCTCAGTTTGCTTATGCCAAACACCGCGGCACTGCGGACGCTTTGGTTCGCGCTCACTCTCACTTTGAGGTGGTGGCCCGCCTCCTCGTGGAGACCCAATGCACCCGCTTCCAGAAACAGGCTGGCGGTCACACCCGTGCTTGCATAGGCGGACTAGGACTTTCATTGGACTTATCCAAGGCATTCGATGGCGTGACCCGTGCCCACATATACCGGTCCATGCAGTCCCGAGGAGTCCCCCCGGATGTGATTACCCTTGTGCAGCAACTGCACCATCGGGCGCAGTACATCTACTGCTCTGGATCCCAAAATGGCTTCACAACCACCTCAAACGGTATCAAACAAGGCTGTGTCATCGCTCCTTATTTGTGGAACTACTTCTCCCTTCTGTTCCTCTCGCGTCTTGCTGCACAGCGTGATGAAGAATGGATCCGCCGGGTCCTAACCCTCTTCGCCGATGACGTTTGGGGTGCCTGGGTCATTCGGAGTGAACCCGACTTAGAACGGGCAGTCCTTGATGTGTCTCTGATCCTTGAAACTCTTGAGTCCTTGGACATGACCATCAATTATACCAAGACCGCCATCTTGCTCAGGCTTGTGGGCCGGGACGCCAGCCGACTGCGGCGCCAACATACCTACATGAAGGCGGGTCGTCTTTATCTTCGTGTCTGGGTACATGGTCGTGAATGTGGCGTACCGATCAAAGAACAGCACGAATACCTTGGCACTGTCGTCACATACCGGCACCGCCACCAGCGTAACATGCAGCATCGTCTTCAAGCCTGTGCCGGCCGATACCAGGGCCTCCGCAAGCTTCTCAACGGCTCGCATCATCTCACGGAGCAACATCGCCTGCGCCTATGGCAGGCCTGCATCTGCAC